GCGATGTTCTAAAGACTATTTCCATATAAAGTCTAAATTATATTTATTTTTTCATTTAATATGACTAGATTTGTTCTTAAAACTCTTGCTTATTTATAATAGATATATTCTCTTTATAAATTCTGATGATACTAAGATTTTTATTGAATTATGAGAAGATATTATGGGCAAAGTCAGCCTCAAGTTTTGTCAAAACGCCCCTCTGGAACTCCAGTCTGCTTAAGATTCAAACTTCTGTTTGGACTTCTCTCCCCTGCCATGCTTCCCTTCCCGTGCTGTGTCTGAAGTGGGGATGGGTGCTGTAGGTACAGAGATGAATGAAATAGAAGCTTCTTAAGATGCTCGCCATCTAGTGAGGAAGACAGTCATGAAAGTAAATAATAAATACACCATGTTATCTAGGGTCAGTGATGGTATGTATTAAGCAACCGAGGGATCACAGAAGAAGGAGTGATCAAGGAAAGAAAGAAAAAGAGTTAGCAAAGAAGGTAATATTGAGGGCAATTTTAGAATTTATTCTAGGCTGACTAAAATATTATTAGTTTTGTAAACTACATTAAATAAGTGCTACATAGAATATTCCCTTACATGAGGGCCCTGGTGACCTGGGATCTGTTCTGACTTTGTCTTTGATCGGCTGTTACCTTTTTGTCTTACTGGACAAGTCACCTGCCCTCTCTGGGGCTGAATTTGTCCTTTTCAGACGATGGTGTTACTTAAAATGAAATAATACCAGACAGACAAGATAGTATAGGTAGATAGATAGATAGAAAAATAGATAGATAGATGGATAGATAGATTAACATATATTTATATATTAAAAAGGGTTGAAAGTGAATAGTTAATGGCTTTGGAAAACTGTCCTTATACATTAAGTAAAAAACAAACAGATTTTAGAGACTTTTATAAGGATATATTAAGAATTAGGAGAAAGAACAAAATGTTGAAAATAACTTTTCTCTTGGTTTTAGAATGACAAGTGATGTATTTATTTTCTTGATACTTTCTTTACAGTCCGTATTTCCTTCAATGAACTTCCATTATTTTTTAGTTTGAAAAAAAGTTAGGTCATATGAACAAATGTAGTGTAGCTCAGTTTTTTAAAAGCTTCTACTTTAGAAATGTGTATGCTTCTGCCACCGTATTTCTGAATTTCAGGGTTAGCGCTCATTTCCCCCAAGTATTGCCTTTATAGGATTTTCCTTAGGATTCTTTGCTTAAAGGGAGATGAAGCTTGGATCAGAAGGAAATTAAGTGAAGAGGAGTAAAAAATGATGAAAGGTGTTTTAAAGAAGACATTACTCTTGTCTTTCAGGTCTTCCAATGCCTGATAATTGAGGGTGAGAATTCTGGCAAAGATGCTCTGAGAGA